GATTTTGGTTCAAAAAATGTAAAAAGTTCATTTTCGTCAGTTAGAAGCAAAATGTGTTATTTTCGGAACTCTCCTCAGATCCTAGAATAAATCCGGAAAATCTACACACTACTTATAACTATATACTATGAATCTTTGAATTTTCAAACATGAAAAACTAATACTTGCAAGGCACAGTGGTCAAAAAGCTTGAACATATATCCACTCATTTTTGATGTAGTTTTACCATGTCCAAGCTGATCAAAATCAGTGGATGGCCAGCCATTAATAAGCCTTATTAATGAATATATAAGCACAAATATGACTTGTATAATAGATGAAACACAGCTCTAGCCAGTTTTGCCACTATGGTGGTTACTGAGATAATATGAAATGATGCAAAGATCATCAGGAGCATCACTTCTCCAACCCAAAGATACACAAAATAGAAATATTTAAGCAAAAGATGTTGAATCTCTTAACAACACATGGAAATACACATTAATAAACAAATCAAGAGTACATGCATCAATACAATTTTAATACAAATATATTATATTATGTTATATAAGAATTTATATAATCAATAGTTTCTAAGCATTAGATAAAAATACTAAATACCTAAAATTAATATAGTATTCTTATAATGTAGGTTGAAGAGTTTCTAAATTTTTGTATACTTAGCAAGAGTGAGATCAAGTTTGATGACATTAACCATGTTCCAATGTACTTCATTTGGTTATGAGGCAAATACTGAGATGATCATGACATGATTACCATTTGATCTTATATTGATATTATTCAAAATTAGCATATTAGACAAATAATACTGCTAGATTTTAATCAGGCTATAAATAATATGGCTAATTAATTATAAATTAATCATCAGATTATATGATAACATGGATAATATCTTTATAATTAATTAGCTATATTATAATCTGGTTAAAACTCAGCAGCACCATTTGTATAACTTGTCAGGCTTTGTTTACATATAATTAATATATTTATTCATTTTTATTGTACTTTCATTAAGCAATTTGTTTATATTTATTCTTTTATTTTCTTAATTGATCTGAAAGTAAGGATAACATACAAGAATCCAACATGAAACATCCATTTCTGTCAGGAAATTGACATACAGTATATAGGTCTATTATTGTATCATTTCTGTGTCCATTATTCATATCCCATAATTTACAAATAGTGAGGTTACGATTAAAGGCAAGTTTAAAAGCTATTTGCAAAACTATATAAGTATACATTGGAACATCACTTTAATATATATTTTCAAAGACACTACTATTTATAACCATAACATGCAATAAACCCATATTAGAACTTCTATGGATATGTGTTACACTGTTCAAAACCATAAAATAGTAATCATTAATAATGTTTATATAAATTCCACACAATTATCTTTTTATACATGTGCTAATTTGGTCTTGTGTTCAATTTCGAGCTCTCTAAATTTCATTATTTGTTCCAAATGGAACAAATTATGAAATTTGGATCAACAATATATTTTAAAAATTGTATTAACATTCTGGAATATGTCCAAGGAAAACACTTAAGTAAATGTTGAAAATACTTGTATGAACATTTATTTTTATAAGGACTGCCCAACTGAAAAGTGGACACATGTTATATTTCGTCATGTAAAGTAGTGACTGGTGGGCCACCTTACAGGCTCAACACAGGTGAAGTGAGGGCTGCATTAAGTATTGGCAAGAATAGATTTTATCTCCAGTAATTAGCAGATTAATGTTAAGTTAATTATGATGGAAGCATCCAGAATCAAACAGCAGGTAATAGTTTGGTTTTTAGTGGCTGAAGGGAAAGAACTCTTTTGCTCACTTACTTCATGAAATTCCAATGAATCTCCAGTTAATTTTGGTATGCCCATCTTTACATAATCATCTGCTCTCATCAAATTTATATCACTTCCTGAATCTATAAGTGCTGTGAAGCTCACTTCATCTATTTTGACTTCTTTTATAGGCTTTGACTTAAATTCTTTTCCCTTTACTTCAAAACTTCTTTTCTCAACATTTTGAGGACATGAGATGAAATATGGCCAAAATTGTTACAGCTAAAACATTTCATTCCTTTGTCTTTCTCCGGACAACTTTTACTCACATGGTTTTTCCTGCTACAGTTATAGCATTTTCCATCTCCATAAGAATTATTAGGCTTAATCTCACGCCCTAGCTTCTTGGATCCAACTGTCATTTTAGCATTTGGCTTATGACTTCATTTCATGTTTTCATAAATTCACAGCTTTTGTCAAATTTCTTTGAAAGTAAAATACTTTCAAAGAATTTACTTTCAAAGAAAGACACCATAAAGCATTTTACTTTGTTTTACTTACTTGCTCATCCTGAATTCCATTGATGATGATGTATTGTATCACCAATTCTTCCTCAATCGTAATTTGTGACAAAATTTCAATCATCTGATACACATATTCCTGATAAGTTTCATTCTGATGCTTCACTTCCATCAAAAGTTGCTTGTGAATCTTCCAACTGTTCAGCTTTGGAGAAAATTTGGCACAAAGGGCTTCTTTTAATGCTCTCCATGATTTAGTACATTGTTCATAGTTTACGTACATTCTTGCTGAACCTCTGAGTAGTTGTTTTGCATAAATTATCTTCTGCATGCCATTCCAGTTAAACATTTCTGCCATGTCTTCGAAATTAGAGATCCACTTAACGACATTCTTTCTGTCGTCACCACTGAACATTTCAAGGGATTCGTCAACATCTCTAAAGGTAAACATTGACTTAGAGTACTCACTTCTATGTCACATAATATCACTATCTTCACTATTTTGTCCTCACTTTTGTCAGCATTGTCGTTGCTTTGCACATCATTATCTCTGGCATTCTCAATCAAAAATGCTGCATCCAATCTTTGCACCAACTCTCTCTTGCTACCTGTGGTTTTCAATTTTCATCGTCCTAGTTCACTTTTCAGATCAGCACACTTAAGATGTTTAACATTTGCCATTATATTGTCCTTAGTTACAACAGTCATAGTTCTCCGTCGTTCACTGTAGCATCACTAACTCAGCCATCTTGTATGGATTCCATTGCCCTTCTAAAAGTTCTCGTATGAATTTCTCTCAATATCCCGGATGAGCCCCCAAAATTTGTAGGAATAGAGATTGAAATAGAGAACTAGAAATGATAATAATCCTGCGTTCACAACCGTCTTGATAGAATGATAATGTTCTCACCTTTGCAACGACTTTTTGTATTGTCTTACTTTCATGCCATCACCAACTGTTGTCTTCCCTCACTTCTCCCCCTCTCTCATTCTCCTCATCTCTCCTGCAACCCCTCGTAAATTTATTGCCTTAACGGTTTAGGAATGTTACTCGTCTAAACCCTACATATATCATATCAAAGTGTGTCTCACACAGAAGTAGAATATATGTGATCAGAATCTGTTAAAATTGCATGCTGTAAAAGAAAAATAAAAGCCATGGTGTTGTTACAGAAAGTGAGAATGACTTTTTCTGATGTTGGTAAAGACTGATATGAGGGAGTTTGTTATATTGTCTTCCTTTGTCCTATTTTATCCAGTGTCTGTTAGAGCAAAAAAGTGATACAGCATATCAACATCACATGAATATGCTTCCAGGAAAGCCCTTATTTGGTTTAGATTGTCTTTCACTTGCTTTGTTGAAGGTGCTGGCACTAACTGCATTTTCTTTTGAATTCGACTCATCATAAAAAAGCTACCTAGTTTCCTGGTAACTTTCACTATTTTTTCCATATTAATTTCTTCAAAGGCAGAAATTTCCTTGCCCAATGTTGGGAATTCTTCCATTGATAATGGATGATCTACTGAAATCTTGTTTCAAGTGTTTGAAGATTGGATAACTGTTTTGAAATGTTTTCTGCTATGTTATTCTCATAAAGATTTAAGGATGAAATTAAACCAGTATGGCTCCAACAGTTTCCAATTTTTTTAAAAAGTCATTTTGTCCCACAGTCATCCTATCATAAAGAGAGCATCTCTTGGGAAATCATATATCAACTTATCACTGCTGATTGAATCAATGATTTGCTTAGAGTTAAATTACTTTATTTCATTGCATTGGCTCCAATGAGTTTGCCCCCTATTTGTATATTTATTCTCGACAAAGGTACAAGCAGAACTAAATTTACATTCAAAATACCAGGGATTCAGTTTTAACGTTTGAAATTACTTACAGGCTTAATATTTTACCTCCTATTGAAGATAAAGATATAAATAAGTGAAAATTGCTCAATAAAATGTAAGTTGGGAAAAATGGCATCTCTTTCTTGATGTGGTGTAATTTCTGGGCACACAAGTTACGTAGATAACAGATTCATAGCAATATTTTTACCATTAAAGAGATTGACATTATATCAGGATTGTTAAAACAAGAATCAATTGCATATATTTTTTGTTACAACAAATCCAGTGTGTTTCATCAAATTCTGATTTAACAATTCAACAAAAATTTGAAATGTCACATAAATCTAATTTTGAAAATAAAAACTTTTGTCTTTCAAGAAAAATTTATAGATAACTTAATAACTATTCTATTCTATTTTTTAGAATATAAACTTTAAAAAATTTAATTGATAAAATTATAGGAAATATAATTCTTGAATTATTTTGTAATTATAAAAATTTTAACACGCAAAATGTTACTAATTAATTTATTTATTCTATGTATAATAATTCTAGTAAAAACTTACAACTGTTTTTANATCAATCTTTCGAAAGAAACATGAAAATTCTCACTTATATAGAGTCCTGTACAATGTGCAAATAAAGCAAGCAACGCCCTCGAATTTTGCCGATCAGAGGTATACGTATTTTTTTCAACTTATAGTCTTAGGTATAAACTGTCAGAAAGCATGTGATAATGCAGGTTTCGATAATGCGATTTCCTATAATACGTAACGAATCCCCCGCATTTATATAGATATTATAAATAAATTGCATATATAATCAAACACACACAGACAAAAATGTCATAAAGCATTCAGTTCATACATATATCCATATATACAAATATATATTAATATATACTTATGGCTAAGGTCTGTATCAGAAAATGCTAGGATTAGACAACTAATACTGACTTAAGCAAGTCTTTTGGTTAAAACAAGTAACAATTCATTCATTTTAAACTTTATCCAAGTCACAAGAGGATTAAGCTGAAATTATCCAAAAAAAAATAGATAAAGCTAGAACAAAACATAAAAGTTAGACTTTATTTGGATAATGTGAAGTCTATCCAACATTGTTTGGTTAGAGCTGAATATGTACTGTATGTTGCCTTTTTTATGGGCATGAGAATTTTTTCTTTTAGTCATGTTGATCTAACAATAAATTGGTATCAAGGTAATTTAATGTTAGATTTTAAGCCAATTGACAATATAGTAACAACTTTCAACCTGAATTTTTTCGTACCTATGATAAACTTCTTTGAAAAACACTTGTAAACTGTATCATTATATTTACAAATACAATCAAAGATAAATACAAAAACAGATGTCTTTAAAGTCCTTTCAGACAAACACATGATCACAAATGTATTGTAACACTAAGTATTGCAAAAAAATGCAAAAAAGTTAAAAAGTTTCAGCAAAACTTTTATAATTTTTCAATTGTACAAGGCATGTCCAGAAAGTAAGTACCATTTGCATATTTCTCTCGTGCATTTTGGCAATGTAAAAGTCATGCATACATAGTTATTTCTTTCACTCAAAAACAAAGTAATTGAGCCATATTTGTTATTGTTGTTCACATTGAGGATCACTAAGCATCAATTATAATATTCAAAACAACTGAGTGATCTGCCAGTTGTGAAATACAATCAGTAATTAGTTTCTGAATGTGCGAAATGGTCAACCACACAAAATTTACAGGCAAATTTGTGAGATTTACAGACTAAATGTGATAAGTGAAGGAAGGTATGGTGAGAAAGTGCATTAGGATGTTTAATAAAGGAAAGAACAATGTTCATGGCAAGAAGTCTAGCAGCCACCCATACCTAGTCAATAAAGACTTGCTGCACAATGTCGATGAGAAGATTCATTCCAATACATGGCTTACACTTTGATTTATCTCTACAATTTCCTGATATTTCAAGACTTTTGCTACATGAAATTTGTGAGTAAACACTTGCACTTCAAAAATTTATGTTTAAGATGAGTGCCAAAAATGCTAACAGACATTCACAAAACAAAACGCATAGATATAAGTGCCTCAATTTGCATGGTGATTATGTTAAAAACTAGATTAAGCTATGTATAATTTAATGATAATTAATAATTTTTGTTTCAACTGCCTACATTTTTAAATAGCCAAACAGTACTTATTTTCTGGATTTTTTGTATTTATTATGTTACTCCTGATCTATACCATTTAAATTCTAAATATATATTGGTACTCTGTAAATCAAAGTAGTTTTTTACTATTACTTTAAAGCTAAATCTATGATTTTATGCTTTAAAGTTGAAAATCTTTTAGCTAAATCTAACAATACTTTAGTAAAATAACTAGTAACATTTATTTTTGTTCCCCTCATTTTTTATGCAACAATATATTAATAAATTATAGTTTATTTAATAACTAATTAGCCTTCTTTATTCATCCAACCTACATTTTAAAAATCACATATTATCCAGCTAAAGGGACACCCTAAATTTTCTCCTCAACATTTATAAAAACAAAATTTTAAGTTTTATTCGTGTTTCATTTAACTGTTTTTGGATAATGTCAGCTTTATCTGCTTGTAACTTGGATAAAGCAGGCTTTTTATGAATAAAGTTCAAAATTAAATTAGGTTGTGACTTGCTTGTATGGCCTGGATAAAGTTAGCATTAGCCAGTTAATCCTAGCCTTATCAAATTCACAAACTAGCTACAACACATACATCATTCATGCTTGTATATACATAGCAACATATATTCAGTATAGTTTGAAAATATTGTACCTTTTTTCCACGATCATGTAAAATTCTTTCTGTATCCTTAAGCACATCCTGTTTCCACAATTCAAAAAAATAATTGGGATCTGTATAAAATTTCAAACCATCCTTTCCATCTTCCCTAAAAAATAAATAATATGCAACTTAATATAAAATAATTCATTGTATCAATAAAGTGAAAATATAATACTTTTACAGATTAATTCATTCAATGATCTATATTGTTTTAAAATTTTGAATTCTTAAAATCAAATTATATTTAACAGGAGTGTATTTCTTATGCATTCTGTAACAGATTACAATGTAAGAAATAGTGTCTTTGTAATTACTTCTTTAAAATATAAAATTCTGAGTCAATCTCATAAGTCATTATGAATAATGTAACTGAATCACTAAATACCATATTATGCAAATCAATTTAGTCTAATGGTAAAAGGTTAGGCAACCATCTAATAATAATTTTAATAATTAAATTAACTTTGAAATAAATTTAATAATTTAAAATATTCTAGAAGAAAACATTAACTTACATTGGATTTAGTTGTCATGTGACATAATTTTTCATTATAATGATAAATAAAAATATAAAAAGAACCCAAAACCAGCACAAAGTAAACAAATTTAATAAAAACTAGTGATGGGATGATACCAAAACTTCTCCCAATTCCAATTCTGCCAAAATCTACTGATTCCAATACAATTCCCAATTCTGATTCTTTTGAATACTTTCTAAAGTTTATTTTAGTTTAGAAAAATTAATGATTTACTTTATGAGCACTGAACATTAAATTAACAAACATTAAGTTTAAGAATGGAAAATGATTGGGAAATCCAAAATCAATCTTTCGAAAGAAACATGAAAATTCTCACTTATATAGAGTCCTGTACAATGTGCAAATAAAGCAAGCAACGCCCTCGAATTTTGCCGATCAGAGGTATACGTATTTTTTTCAACTTATAGTCTTAGGTATAAACTGTCAGAAAGCATGTGATAATGCAGGTTTCGATAATGCGATTTCCTATAATACGTAACGAATCCCCCGCATTGTACAGGACTATACTGTATATATGCACACAATGACACCTTTCATACTTATTCCAGCAACTTTATTAGAAATATGAATGTTTTCGGTCACCTCTAGCGGCCTTCTTCAGGTTACAGGCTGTTTCATTTATCAACCATTTAAAAGAATGAGAAATGTTCTACGGATATGATTTTTTAAAAAAGCATTCTACATTAACCAAATGGATTAAATTTAAATTGTAGAATAAAGTCTACACATAATATTAAAATAAGAATAAATTTTAAAAATAATACAGTGAATATTAAAATAAGAACAAATGTAAAAATACTATGAATATATAAAATAATAATAAGTTAAAATATGATACATCTTTTTGCACTTTGAAAATTATATAACCTAAATATTACAGAACTCCCTTGATTTTATAGTTTACAAATATAATTGTGTGAAATATAACAAGAACTATTGAAAACATTGTCAGGAAAGATGAGAGAGATTATAAATTATGGATATATATCCAGTATTGTCTAACCTGTGCTAAGGATATATACTGATTGTTTAAGCAATTTACATTTAATTTCGCTTTGTATATTTCTATAACCTCACTTACTCATAAAACCAAACAAGCTCTGCCGATGGCATCCCGCAACTTCTACATCGCTGGCAACAAGTCTTATACACTGCTGGTGACTACACTAAACAACAGTAAAAATCTGAAACATGCATGCTTTTCATACAGATAGTATTTTCACGGTTGCCATTATTAAAATTCCAACTCTTGTCGTTATCATTATCATCAGATCAACCCATCTTTTCACACTATCAAACTTGACATTTGATTGATAATACAATTATCATCAGTTATTGTTAAGAGAGACAACTAATTGTTTAAATGTTTATTTTAATCATTATTTGCCTGTAGAACAATAGTTTACAAAGCTTGCATTATTCTCACTCAATTATATGCTGGATTAATTGTCATTAATTATAATAATAAATGAATCTTCAAGTTATAGATTTTTTAAAATTGTCTTAACATGTCCTTAATTTTAAAGTCAGAGTGAATAAAACTAAAATTTCCACTAACTAATTTTATTTACTTTGTATTGTGTTGTATATGTGTGAGGACTTTTAAGCTAAATACACTTTGACTTATTTTCTTATCCAACTTAATGTTATCAGCCAGTCATTATCATGAATATACAGGCAGTTTCAAAGTGATTACAAAAAGACATTCTATGCATATATATTACACATAACATCATCATACAAATTATGCAATTAATTCACAGGAAAAATCAAACTTACCGATAAGGATTAAGTTTATCTAGGGGTGGTGGTTTGTCACAAGTATGATAAATATCTCCCATAGCAGAAGGCATTGTATTTCTGGACAAGACTTGTTGATCATACACAACAGAACTCTTAAATGCTTTTCTCATATGAATATCTTGAAGTGAAACTACAAAATACAAAAATTTATTTCAAAATGTATTTAATTCTTTATTAAACTTTTTAGAGATCATTAACTTCTAACAATAATGATACATTTATAAGAATAAGCCTTTTCCAAAATTATACAAAGTGCAGTGAAGTGACAAAACAAGGCAATGCAACACATGGACAATCTGCCAAGAGAAAGGTGTCGCTTGGTTCACATTCCATAGAAACCTACAGTTTCCAAGGAAAACTGTCTTATTTAGGTGTTACATGTAAAGAGTCTCCAGAAAACTCTATGTAGCCAATCAATTTGCAAGACAAAAACCCAAATGTTTGGTAGTTTAGCTGCTTGTCCACCGGTGGGACACTAAACAAAATGAATTTTCTTATATTTTATCTTTATTTTGTGCATTTTTGAATGTTATGTGTCTACGGCAATTATAATAAACTTATATTAATTTTTATACATTAGAGGGTAGAAGATAAGAAAAAGTTAATAAAACCATTTAAGATAATAGAGATTGCGGCTGAAGTTTTCATCTTTAAAACATGAATGTCAAACGTCGCTATCTTGTAAGCGGCGCTCAACATTCGACGTTCATGTTTTAAAGATAAAAACTTCAGCCGCAACCTTGCTAATAGCAAAGTTGTCTTTTTTTCCAGTGTATTTTCATAATACATGGTACATAAAGGAGACCTTCATTTAACATAATTTTAAATAATCATTTTTTAACGATATTTTAGTATGGATAATAATATATCAATTTAAAACATTTTATACTATCTTCGACATATATCTGTTGATAACTGGATGTTATGATTACAGAATAATATAAATGTGAAAAAATTAATTTAATATGAAACTGAAGTAAAAAAATTTCATAAAATTTTTGAAAAATATAACAATTAAAACAAAAATTTTTATTTTATATAAAATTAAAAGAACTACTAGACATTACCTTAACTGTTAATTCAGCTACTAGATACTTGCTTCTTTCTTCTCTTATGCGAGCATCTAAATTTTTTGCCGCAAGCATTGGTATTCCAATAAATGCATCTGTTAAATATAAATCATGTGTTTTTTATTGACTGGAAAAGATTTAATGACATAAAATAAGTTTAGAAAATTTAAATTACCTAAAAGAAGCAAGCATCCTCTCAACAAGGCACGTACTGACTGCGTGACACTAAAAAAATGAGAATGAAGTCGACTGCGGGCAGTTACAGCAATTAACCTAACAGCAAGAGCAATGTCCTGTAAGGTAAATAATAACAATAAAAAAAATCTATGTTAATTTTCAAAATTTACAAGTTATAATACAAGTGCACGCACATAAAATAATTAATACAGATTAATTTTCAAAAGAGTTTAAACACCAAAAATTCAAGTCAGTTTATTTTAATGACATATAACATTTTAATTAATTTACTCTTTATTAATTTAATATTTTATTATTAAAATACATAAAAATCCATATATTTATTTTCAGTTCACAATATAATTTATTAATACTTAATTATTTCTTAATATGAACTGTTTTTCTCGCACGTCAAATGAGACAAAACTGAATGCTGCATGAAATAAAAATTAAGATATGAAACGATACAAGTACATAATATTTATCAACATATAAGTCATGTTATTGGAAACATACATAAATAGAATACACATAAATCAGCTGATACCTATATTTTTTTAATAATGTTTTTTATATAATAAAATATAATTTTAAATTATTTAGCTTAAGTATTTACTTTCATTACATAAAAAAATAGATAAACTGTTAAATTAATGTGAGAGACATTCAAAAAGTTCCAAGAAAATGTAAATAAACAGACAGCAAACTGAATTTACAATTTTATTTTTCAATATGTGTTTAATTTAAGTTCCCGTGTGATGTTGTCATCCTTCTAAGCCTTTCTGGTAGAAATTAGTGCTCTTTGATTCTCGCCACTGCACTAGAATGCTTCACTCAATCTATCGATTGATAGCAAATGCCTTTAATGTCTTCTTTTAAATTTGGAAATGAAATTTGATGGAGCCAGACTCAAATACCTGATAAAACAAGTCTCAGCAATTATTCTAAAAAAAATGTTTATGAAAACCTTACTTCATTTAAGGACTTGTTACATCAAGGAGTAGCACACAAAAACTTAATATTTATATTTATAAATTTATTAAATTTTACAGATTTGTATTACAATAAATATCTGAAAAATGATCGTCGTCCTCTAATTTTTGTGCACTCCTTCTTGATGTAACAAGTCCTAAAATGAAGAAAGGTTCTCATAAACATTTTTCAGAATACTTAAAGTAAGCATAAGAAATAATGGTTGTCTCAACAAGTTTATGCTTGCATCAATTAATAATATAGCATTCTGTTTACAAATAATAACCACTTTCCAGAAACTTTTCAAATTCCCTCCATATTTTATGTCACTGATAACATGTCAAAACTAATTCAAAGCAATCTATTTATTTGTTAACATTAAAACATGATCACATTACATATAAATTACAGATTACATATATACATTACATATAAATTACCTGAAGTAGTGTTGCATGTATCTTCTGCGTTCCTTTCTGTAGCAACTGACTAAGTCGCCACCTGTGCACTTGTCCAGGAAAATTCAAACTTTCAACATCAAATTCCCTACAATGAATTTTAAGACCCATTACTATATAATAATAATAATAATCATCATCAAATTATTAGACATTATTTTAATATATTAATAATTAAGAAATTGAAAAATTCCCAATAATTTAATGATAATGCATCAAAAATAACATTTATATAATACTCAAATGATTTTATTTTAGCATATATATTAATGGGATTTGTAGATGTTGATGCATTTGAAAAACCTTTGAAATTTAAGTGAGAAGTTTATTAGAATATAATTAATTCAATCTGATTGAAAATGTTAATATTGTAATAAACTTCTTACTGGAATTTCAAAGGTTGAATTTTAATTGCATTAATGTTGATTAAACATAAAAGAAAAGTTTATTTTATGCTTAATATTTACATGTTTAGTGTAAATATTAAGCATATATTAAGGTTAAATCAAAAATACAATAATAAATTTTTTAAAATCAATTACTGTAAAATTCATACAACATATATAAACAGCTAACATATAAAGTATTTATAAATTTTCAACAAGAAAACTATATCAGCAATATTTAACTTCCAAGTACAGTAGAACCCTGACTATCAAAAACCCCAATTAATCAAGGTTCCATATTATCTGAGGTGAACTTACTACACTACTTTTCTTATACTGCAATTAATACTAGTATAAAAAGAATCTTAAAAGATATACTATATAAACCTTTTATATTTGTAGTTTTTAGTCCAAAATGGCCACGGCCATCCATTTTATAAGAGTTTCATGTTATCAAAGGTAGCATCAGTCCACATTTACCATGGATAATCAAGGGTTCTATGTGCTTAGATCAGAATTAAATTTATAAGAACATTCATATTTGTTGTTAATATTCAAATAAACAATTACAATATGATTCTTTTACATATTCTATGTCTGATTGTTGTGCTTTAAATCTATATAACTGAAAGATCATACCCTGTATCACAAATGCTTTGCAAATGTTTCTCATTTAATTTCTGAGGATTTCCTTTGGGATCAGAAGCAACTGCATCTAATTCTTCAAAAGAAGGCGTCACGAAAAGATCTCGCAGATTTAGTGGCTTTGACTAAAGAGAAAAACAACATTGAATATTAAATTTTTAGTTTTATTAATATGGATTATACTTATTCTAAGTTAAATATGAAGGAAAAATAACAAACCTTCCTGTTATTGCTGTCACCCACTAAATCTGGTGTCAGAACTGCCAAAGGAGGTGGCAATACTATCGGAAATACTCCCCAATGATAGAGAACACGCTCTGCAACCTATGAATTAATAAATACTTATATACATTATTTTTGTAAATAATTATTATCATTATCTCCAATTTCTCCAAACATAATTTAGAATAATTTTTAAAGTTAGGTTTATATATAGAAGTTATGGTATAAAGTAATGTCTCATTTCTTTCTAGCAGGGAAGACTATGTAAATAAAGTGTGATAGTATCAGAAGATAATTTGAGACTTCCTATTTAAAATCTAATAGTTTTGCTACTGTCCATCAAATAATTCCAAAGCAGTCAATTGTTGAAATGAAGATTACATTAGTGTGTATACATCAAAGAATTTTGTGAGCAAGTTCCTAAATAATGAAAATATTATGTCAATTGAGATTCATATAGTTTTATAGAACTTATAGAAATATCACAATCAATATAGTATCAACATGGAGTCCATCTATTGTTATATAAGGGAAACAGTAATCTCTAAGTCCAAATGAACTTTATTTACTTTATTCAGAAATAAATAGTTTGATTTAATTTAAACATTTATATATTTATTAAATTATAAAGTGGCAACATGGTCTTAGCAATAAAAAAAACAAAACTATTTCTTTTGTGTCAACACAAATGTAAAAATAATTTGATATTTTTTAATACTTACATTATTACATTTTAATCTTTATTACAGTATTGCTTCCAGTACTTTATCTTTATTACATATCATACTAAATTAATCAAGATAAATTCAGTACATTAAATTACAACGAACATGAATTGTACCTAAAGGAATTACTATTGGAATGAAATAATTTGTATAAATGTATCTTTAAACTATATATTATATATTATTATATCATTAACTATTTTATAAATGGTAAATGAAGTGCTTTATTATATCAGGCTAAAATATGGCTACTATATTAATAGTAGCCATATCCTAGTCCTGTATAATCCAACAGTTTATTTGGCATTTATCAAATAATGGGATTATCAGTTGATTATGTTTAAAGACATCTTATATCTTTAAATATAATCAACCAATAACCCAATGTTTTGTCTTTGGAAAGAGATGAAGTGTTTAAGAAGTGTGCAAAAGTGTTTACAAAGTATTCAGAAGTATTAAGAATATCGCAGTGAAACTGGACCAAAAACTAAAAGTTTTGGTCCAATTTCACTGGTATATTCTTAAAAAACACTTCTAATAATCATATATTTTCTACCAACCTTTCTTATAGCTTCCACAACTTCAACAACATCTGAAGATGCTCCTTCTAAATTAATATTAAACTGAATAGGTTCTCTCTGAAATAATAATAAAATTCATTGAATAAATAAAATCAAAAATATAATATAATATAAACATTCTAACTATAGTCACATAAATGATAATATTAAAATAATCAATGACACTTCTCAATGAAATCCATTATTGAAAAACTGTACAACTTTTTAAAAAAATTTAAAATAGTAATACCAAATGTCTAGAACTAATTTATATAATCTTAAATATCTGCCTGTTATCTTAAATCAGCAATGGAAAACTTTGGAATATACTATTGGCCATTGCTGTTTGATGTTTATAAATAGACTATTTAATGTTTTTAATTACTTTCCATACTTTTTAATACATTTATATTTGTTCATAACATATTTTAAGTGCAGATTAAAAGAGGAAACAAATTCCCTGACCAAAAATATTACAATATATTTTTATCCACAGATAATTGTTTGCAGTGATAACTGGTAGTTTATTACAAACATTAGAAGATAAGAACATGACAAAACAAAAATAAACAACAGTATTTTTATGGTATGGCCAAGTAAAAAAAAACACAAAAACACATTTTTGCATCTAAATATATGTATGAATGATAATTTTTCATAGGACCATAAAATATTGGCAATGCACTCACCAGAGTCCTCTTTGTTTGGCAAGCAGCTTTCCATTAGCTATGTGCATAAAATGATTCATACATTTTTTAATTAAATTTCTTATGACTGCTGTTTATATATAAATATTATAAAGTCTCTGTAAATCCACACAAAAAATATATAAATTTTAGGTTTAGCGGTAGACCATCACACAGCAGATAGCTAATTACTTCTCTTAATTACTCTGCTGTGTGATGGTCTACCGCTAAACCTAAAATTTATATATTTTTCGTGCGGATCTACAGAGACTTTATAATATTTATATGATTCATACACTTGTAAATACAAACATGAATAAGCGATGGCAAGTGAACTCTCTCTGTGAGGGAAGCAAATCATATAAATACTAACTGTATTAAAATTAAGTACATCCAATCCTCGACCTCAGTTTATGTGATAAATTTGTTCTGCGTACTTCAAAATTGTGTAAATAGAGACTAATAATTATATGCCAAATACAGGAATTAATTTCAAAGCTTCATTTTTAAACGAGATAAAATGAATAAATAGGAAATTCATTCTGCATGTTCTTTGCTTGATAAATATACAATTTTCTTCTCTTTAGTATAAAATTTTATGCTGCTTCCATTAACTTCTTCAATCACAATTTTTCAAGTTAGTTGGCTAAAAACATTGATGTTATCAGATAAAATTGATTATCAAAACTTATTTTATATCTATGTTTAACTCTTTATAAATTTTCTAACACAATACTTTGTCGAATGTATACTCTGTGAGAATAAGACATAATACAAAGTCGAGAATCCTAGTTATGAACAATGCGTAAGTTGAAAATGGTGGAAACACAATTACTTCATAATATAGGATTAAACCAAAAGTTCATTTGGGTATTTACATGTACTTTCATTTGTGTTGCCTATGTTATACTTATCAAGTTTTAACTTGTTTAGGTTGGGATTATGAATATTTGCATATTTAATACACAAGTCTAGTTATAGTTAATTTTTAAAATTCTGTTATCTTTCAAGAGGGGAAAAAAGCATTAAAATGGAAGAAGGTGCATTTTCAACATCTCTTGCTCTATTATTTCCAAAAAGGAAAGAAATGCAACAAAAATGATTGGCATAGAACAACACAAAATTGCCGATTCCTTAAAAATATCCCAAAAAGTTTGTTGTCAGACATTTGGCTATACTTGGATATACTTCCTGTTATGATGTTTGGTTCCCCATCAGTTAAGTGAACAAAACTTTATTGAGAGTATTTCTGTTTGTGATTCACTTTTAAAATGCAATGATGATGATCCATTTTTAAAGCAATTAATAACAGGCAATGAAAAATGGATTGTTTACAACAATATTCAATGCAAGAGATTCTCATCGTAGACTGCATTTCTTACTAATTAAACACCCTCAAGAAAACCTTTTAAATATGCAGCCGTATTTACTACATTCTAACATTTTCGGTCATATTCAATGAAACGTTTATTCTTGAAAAAGGTCATTAAATATGACCGAAAACGTTACAATGTAATAAATACAGCTGCATATTTAAAAGGTTTTCTTGAGGGTGTTTAATTAGCAAGAGATTATGTCACATTTTTTTTAACTGCATACAGTCAAACCTTGATTTTTGAATATAACTTCTGAATCAGTAGTCCTGTCATTAATTGGTTGGACTGTCAACTTTAACATAAATTAGGAAGTTTAGTGAGTTGATCATCTGTCTCTCTAATCTGTGGCTGGCTCTTGTCAAGTAGCTTGCTTGGCAACTGAATTATCGTACAACAGATGCAATTATGAGTTCAAAATTCTGTTTGTGAACTGATTTGTTCAAAACTTGATGTTTGACTGTACTCGAATTGTGTTAATTGTGCAATTCAAGTACTGCATAAATTGAGAGTAAAGTGAATGTTCTGTAATAAAGCTTATTGCAATTCTATCATTACATTTATTTTAGGAAAACAAACACACATTACTAGACAACTTCTGAATGTTTTATGAACCCTTGAAAACTGATCTGAGGATCCCCAGAGTTCTGTAGATCTGTTTTGGGGAATGTTGACATAACTTGTCAAATAATCTAAATATCAGAATAACAATCTACTAAATATTATACCCTCAGTGGCCAAACTATGACTCTTTTAGACCCTTACTGCTGCTCTTATCTCAGTTATATTTATATATATAACTTATATAAAATACAGTTTTGATAAATAAACTAGTTTTTATCATTTTCTACTAATTTAAATTATTAGAAAATGATTATCCATTTTAAAAGAACTTTATTACAATTTCCACAAACAAAGTTTATATTCTTCACATTCATAATGGATCTAAGGCATTTTAATATATTAGTAAAAATCTTCATTTGGTGTAGTTTTTGACCGTCCTGATGTGGGTAGGTCGTCAAATTATTTTATTTAATTTGTAAATTGCTCGACAAGTGGGTGGTTTGACATCTGGAAACTTTCCAGTAAATATTCCTTTCATTACTGCATAGTTTTTATAATCTTTCTATCATTTTTATAAAAGAAACACTTTGATCTAAAAATAAGTTTCACACTTCGCAAATATGTGAAGATGTGTAGTCTGATAAAGGAATCTGACTTTTTGTCTGATATTTGAAGTAATTATCAGGTTGACTGTATTTATTATATAGTGACATGCACACATTATGATTAAATGCCACATTTGGTTATGTTTATAGGGTTTTGAGGTGGAAAGAATGGTGGGTGGAGCCACCTCCAAAACATCATTAAAATGCATGGATGTCTATAGATATGTATAAAATAACAAAACATTGACATTATTTGTTCTTTGTTTATAATACTTTGTTCGTTATATGGTTCGAATTTGAACTGAGGAAGATCGCTCAAAATGGTCGAAAATGTTTTTAACGCATTAAACGTTGTGCTGGAATAGAGAAAGGCGTTTGTTTATTTTATTGACATTATTAGTGAAAAATTATGTTAAATCATTAAACATTGGGTTGATAAACCCAACCAACAATAAATTTATCATACACTAGTTGTACCCGACCATGCTTTGCTGTGGCTCAAAATGTATCTATTATAAATGTATAACACTCCTCATGGGAGGGAATTTTGAAAAATCCCTTCTTAGTGTACATTCTCTCGATGTACCCTATTAATTAAAATGTAATCAAAAATGCAAAATACCACATCTAAAATAGAATAATTGAAGACCAGTTCTTCACAGTAAGCCTTAAATTTGTCCCTCTCCCCCACAGGGGGGAGTTTTGACATCTATATAATATAAAAATGTGTGTATTCGAATGCAACGTTGTGTCAAAATTTCAAATCAATCAGTTAAGAACTTTCGGAGATTTAAGATTTTGAACAAACAAACATTTAAATTTTTATTTATATAGACTAGCCAATGTTTATTCAACAATTAAACATTTAATTGATGTAAAGTTTCAATTATTAAACAAACATTGGTTGGTATACAATAAGTCTGTTGTTGGTTGGGTTTACAAACCAAAAGTTTAATTAAACTAAAACACAGACAAAAGACATTGATACACAAATCTGTTACATGAGTTTGTTGATTATTTATTGTTTCTTGCTCAACAATGCCTCAAAAGTATCTTGTTTTATGAACAATGCAGCTTCTAGAAAACCCCTTAAAAAATTGTAATATACAGGGTGTAACAGGAAAGACAGTGACAACTTTAAATCCCTTTAAATATAACATGGAAAAGGTAACAATTGTCGTAATACAATGCATGGTGGAATGTGAAATGTGAATGCAGAAACACAGTAAGTATGAAGAACATGGAAAATAAAATTTTGTTTTAGTCATGGATATTTACAAGAAATGATGTTTTCAGTTGGTGGTCGTTCAAATCACCAACTGCAATCATGCATCACAACATTGACAGAATGATTGGTGTACACTTTGGAAGATACCCGGCCTGTCACATAGTTCTGCATAGTAATAGTGCTAATTCTGGAGACAAGATCTTCAGGAGCGTCAATCGGCATCTTGAAATGCATATCTGCCTTCTCAGATTTACTCCTGAATACTGTTGCATATTTGCAGCTGTACAACTTTCGAATGACAATGTGTGCAAAACACGGCCCTTCTTACCAGTGAGCACACTCTTGAGGCTTCTGGCCATGCATTGTATTACAACAATTGTTACCTTTGCCATTTTTATCAACGCTTAAAGTTGTGACCATCTTTCCTGTTACACTCTGTATATAGACAACACATAAATTTGATTGGCCAGTTGAGTTGTCAAAATCACAGATGTGATTTTGACAACTCAGTAAGTTGTCAAAATCACAGATGTGTATGTTAATTTTTAAACTTACAAAATTTGAAAATTTCTGTAAAGCCCTTAGATTTTACTGGTGAATTTGTATTTAAGAATAAGATTGTTAATTTAGGTGCAAAATGTCATTAAAATTTTGAATTTTATGCTGTGCAGAGACGTAATTTGATATAATATCAATCTCCAACTTTGTGATAATATTGTCAATCCCTTTGCAAAAGAAAGAACACAAAATTAGACTTGAAAATAAATCTCCAAATCTTAAACTTTGGGTAGCAAAATGATCTCTCGAAACTAATTTGACTTGGAAATACAGAATGCATCAAATCTATTGGAGTCAATCGTGTTATGTCTATTGTGTTATGAAAGGAAAGGCAATATAAACAATTTTAAATGTTCTTAAAGTGCTGAAGTTATTATTTGTAAATACATCATCTCCAGAAGAATCAAATTTACTTATTAAAACTTCATTTATGTACTTGATTATTTATTTTCAATATTAATTGAAATATATATTCTGTAATTGTAAGTTTGTTTTCAGGTCATACAAAATTTATTAAAAAATCAATTAAAATATTGATAAAATTTAAAAAATAAATAAATTTATTCTATAATGACATTCTATATTCTTGTATGAATTGGTATTCACAGTCTACAGCTTTTCTTGCTATGTCGACTTTAACAGCTTTCTTAAAGCAACGGAAGCATCATTTTTCTCAATTTCATTTTCATTAGTATAGGTTCTATGGCAAAAGCTAATAGCTCAGTGGAAAGCTGCATTGGGGAACATTCACCACTTATTAAAACTTGTCAACAGAGGATGACCAGAGTCATTTTGTGATCTAAAAATGGTAGAAAGAATTCCCAAAAAAAGGCTATGCCAACCAATAAAATGGTCAAAGATAAAATATTGACTGCAAATCATTTCATATGAATATGTGTTTATGGTTCTTAGCTTTTGTAGAATGCAGCTAAGCATTCTACAGTGCAATCGTAAACACCCATGTAGATTGCCGAGCGGTGATGTCATTACTTAATTCCTGAAAGCTCCACTCATTTCTCCAACCACTACAAAGAAACTTTACAATCATCCTCTATAGGCAAGAAAAGCTTCCCACTTTAAATACCTGTTTTATGTTCTTGGAGTAATGCTCTATATCTGAATCTGATGATTGAAATTAATGTAGCTGAAAACACTTTATTAAAAACTGATGCTTGATTTTAAAGATTTATTTATTTTTTCACTTTAAATTATTATTAATAAGCATATGAACTTAAAGAACATGTGTTTGAAATATGAAATCATCACTCATACAACTTATACCTCATTATTTTCATATTCAATGATTATAATATAACGGTATAGGGAGAAGGTGGTATTAAGGAACCGTGCAGGTATTATGGAACCACTCGATTTCAAACTGATAACAAATAAAACGGCAAAACCGTATTTGGGACAAGACTATGTCTTGGAGACGAAATCACTTTGATGCTCAAGGCAGATCTTGTTCTCATTCTCCTATCTTCTTTGATATCATTGCTTTTGGGCACAATCGTTAAAACTTCACCTGCCTTGACCACGAGGTCATCCATGAGCCATTTTCGGTGAATGTTCTGTCGGTAAAAATTTACTAAGAAACTGATAATTTACTTAATTTGTATCGGCAGCACGATATTTACAATAGCGTCGATATATAATATAAATCCAAGATTGCATGGCTGTCAACTCAAAAGGTCAATTAACGTGAAATGAAAAAATGTCTCTCCTACCTTGTCCCTGATGTCCACGTTGACCTCGACCATGTGTTCTGTGTCTTTTGTTCTGTCATTAAAAATTTACTAAAAAACTGATAATTTACTTAATTTGTATTGGAACAGTGATATTTACAACAGCGTCGNAAGAAGCTTCATTTTGAGAAAGGAATGGATTTTATAAAAATTTGTAAATGCTAGTAACGAGTAAAATTGTCATTAAGTTTGACCCTATTCAAGATGACACACGCGACCTCACCCTGTGAACTTTCAACCATCAAAACTTAATATCATCAATCCCCTTAATACTCAAACCTCCCTGCAAAATTTCTGAAATTTTTGACAAAAAAGAACAGGAGTTATTAAGCTTCAAAGATGGTGAACAAAGTTGTACTTCCCCAAATTTTTTTTGCATTTCTCGAAGTTTCAAGGTCCTGAGTCTAAACAATGAAAAAAATCTTTGAAGTCATTTCTTGACCGATCACTATACTTTCCCTCTGTTATGTATGACAGAGCATGAAAAATAAAAGTGTCATTTTTTATTTTTAACTATTTTTTATTTATTTAACAATTATTAACAATATTTATAAATAAAATAATTTTGTTTATTGTTTGAAAGAAAAATACTGAGAACAATTTACATAAATGCTGTCAGATTCCAAAATAAAACTAAAATTTCCCACCAAAACGGCAAGATCATTTTTTTAACGTAATGCCATCTATTGGAGGAATACTGTAATGAAATAAACACTTAACAGCAGCGAACGCATCAGAGACGCTAAAATTAGTTTCTAGAGCATTTTTCACAACAAATGTATGATGTACGTCAAAGCAAAAGAAGCAATCTGCACATAAACATATGGGATGCGACAGCGACTGAAAAGAAGTTAAGCTTTAAAATTTTGAAATACCACATAAGGCTAAATAATTACTGTAAAAATCAATTTGGCAAGAGACAGAATTACTTCCTATCAAACTGCTTAGTATTTATTTAGCCTTATAAAGACTCTGATTGCTTATTTAGGATTTGAAATTAACTATAGGGTTGCATTTTATTTACTACACAAAATTTTCGACTTAATAATTCTGATAAAATTCTTCTCATATTTTTATATCACAGTTCATAAAATTCTTAAAAAAAAAAAAAAACTAGAAATTTATTACCGATAGAATAAATAAAGCACTTAGAAATTCCAAAGTAAATCTGGTTATTGTTCATCAATTCTGTGCACTTAAGTAATTATTCATTATGATTTTAAGTTATTGTTAAACACTTATAGACAGTGAATCATAAATTAATTGATCATAAAAGTAATTGAATGAATTAATTTATTTTGCTGAAAGGAGGTTGATTAACCTTGTCCAGAAGAAAAAAACATGAACTTGTATAAAAAGAAATCAATAAAATCAATCAGAATTAAATATTTGGAAAAAATAACCAGTCTTTCAATCATTTAATATTTTACAATTATAATACTCTATCTATCTACAAATTTATGACCATCTTCTTATATTACAAATGTATAATTCACTCTGTTATCACTTCTAATTATTGGCTACAACTGGGAATTTATCCGTAAACACCAAGTTTATTTTGATCCTATACAAGTAAACTCTGCTTTAAATTTAAAAAAGAAAAAACAATTTCTAAACTAACATGACAAAATAAATGAGAAAATTATTCATCCAAAATTCAATGCAATCAAGCATTGTTTAGCTTGTCTATATTTCACGAGTGAGTAGAGATGACCTTCAATATGTTGTTTTCTATTCAAATTCCTCGGCATTTATTGAATGTTTTAAATAGGATTACTCATTCAATAAAATACTTTACATTTTTCCTCTTTTAATATCGTGGCCAATGCAAAAAAAATTTTATGTCAATTTACTTGTTAATTTGTTAAAAATTCTTCCTAATTAAATTGCATATTCATAATTATTTAAATACTTCAGAATTTCCTTTTTAAATATTCAAAGTGGTAGTTTAATTTGAACTTCAACTATTAGAATCATAAAAATTCAATATTAGATGTTTGTTTAATGTCGTAAATACGCAAGCTGATAAAATAAATTCATTTTTTTAGAGATTTTTTGCCAATTTACTGAAAATTTAAACAACAGAATTAAAAATTAATTAGTAATTTTATTTATTTAATGTAAAATAACAAACTGTAGCTTAATCAACAGTATTAATTCTTTTTTTAATTGTGAATTTAATTAAATAATGAAAATATATTTTTTATTTAAGTGATTTAACAAAGCAAATAAATTTAATCATACAGATCAAGTAATGTGAAAAATATTCAAAAATATGAATTTAAAATGTTACACAATTCATTACATATTGTCATTTCATTTTAATTAGTATTTTTTATTAAAATAAGTGTAAAAAAAATTAAAATTGTAAGCATTCCTCTTTCAGCACTTCCTAATTCAGAAAGTTTATTTACCAAGGTCAAATAAAAGGATTTTAGTTATGTTAATGTATTTAAATGATTGGTCTCAATAGCAATTATTTCGTAACTCATTTTAAACCTATTATTATTCTTTTATGTATATTAGCTACGTATTAGCATTTTCTTGGCAGATTTTTAAAAAAGATCTAAGTAAAATTTATGCATTTATGCACTTGTCTTAAAGTTTTATACTAAAGAATAAATATTAAATGCACTAAAAATTATTTAATAATAAATATAACTCAGTTGTCAATTATTTATTTTTCTTATAAATAACTTTTAGAATTCAATATAATAAACATAAATAGTCATGTAAAAGTCACACAATTATAAAGTTTTATGAGATCTGGTTAAAATAACATTTAAAGTTTTGGACTCAATTAAGTAGAAAACAATGTCTGAGTGATAACTTAAATAAGGTAAGATTTTGGTTAGAAAAAATTCTGGTTTATTACTTACGATTTAAAAAAAAAACATGTTAAAACAATTAAAAGTTATATAAACCTTAAGATCTATTAATTATAATTAACTACATTAATTAATTATGTAATTCATTCAGTATTATTTGCCAGTTGAGGTTTTTAGCAATAGCTAGAATATACAGTCGACCCCCCTATAACACGGGTTCCTATAGTTTGGATTCCTATATCATGGTGAAAAAATTGCGACAGTATTCGTACAAACATGCTAAAAAAACTCCTATAATTCAGTAAAATGTCATCGCCGACTCGTGTCGCGACAGAATTGGTCGAATCTAGACCAATAGCGAATATTGTACAAACTGTTGAGTTTAAACGAGCAGCGGACCTACTAAAAACCATTTATTATTTAACATCCATAAAAATTATATTTATATTAATGATGTCTCCAAAGTTCAGCGAACTTTTTGCAAAAAAAATAATTTATCAGGAAGCATGCAAGCACCATTCGATGACAAGCTCCATGACGAAAACAAGCTTAAGCAATGGCATAGTCGAACGGTGCACACTCAGTAAGTAATCCTACAATTTTTTGTTTATAGCATAGTTTATATGGATTATTCCCAAAAAATTATATGTATTTTGGAAATGTTGAGTCGAATTTTGTTGATTTTTGCTATAAGATGCTTGTAAAAGGCCAACCTGGTCACAGTGTCTTTTTGAAAAAAAAATAAAAAAAAATAAAAAATTAGTCTAGAATCAATTAATTTTATGGAAGAAACCTTTCAAACAGCTGTAGTCCATAAACTGCATACGTGCCTGGCTGTGATTGGCTGGACTTGTAGAAAATGGATTCATAAAAACCGGAACTTATCTACCATGTTATAGGGGGGTTGACTGTAATTAAAATACAAAGTGCCAGCAATTTATATTATTGTATTACAAGCACTGATTAATTCTTAACTTTTAAAGCACTGATTAAAGATAATCATTCTAATAACAATTCTAATAACAATTTGAGGATTAATGTCAGGCTATATTAAGGCTAATAACTAATTAGATATAAATCAATATGGCTAGAGGTAAGCAGTGTAAATAAATTTAATAGTTAGAATTTTTAATTATTAAATTTATCAAGAGATGGAGATTTAACCAAAATTGATTTATATCTAATTAGTTATTAGCCTTAATATAGCCTGATAGATTAGATTTGATCTGACAGATTGATTGGCAGTATGAATATATCAGGAAATTGTTTGTTATGTCTGTACTCAAAAAAAGATTTAACTAAATATATTTTTTTGAGCTGAAATTTTGAAATTGCAGACCCATCTATCCATCTGTTCTTCATTAATCTCAAGAATGGAGTTAAACAGATGAAAATCCAGATCAGATATGGAAAGTTTAAGGGCTGGAAGCAGCGATTAACTATATAGGAACTTCAGGTCTGGGGCAGAAGTCATGTCATTTTTTAAATTAAAAGATGATCAAAAACTGCAGCCATGTATTGTGACAATGTCACATCAATTCTATTTTTACTCTGTTTTATTTTTTTAATTAGCTATAGGTAAAGTAGCTGCCTCTTATTGTGACTGCATTGGTTCAAGACTGCTTTGATAATAATAAGTGGCTGATAACATTATTTACTAGCCACCATCTTGTGGAAGCATGTGTTTACTCTATAGCAGTAGTAGTTGACCATTGAACTGTAATCGATAGATCTTAAAAAAATTTTTAATCATCACTATGATATTTTCTATTCATAATTCCTTAACATGTACATTTTTGTCTAATTAAAAGAAATCACATTAAATTTCTTTCAACATTAAATCATGAATGAGAAAAAGCATGAATATTTATACTTTATATACAGTAGTAGGTCACACATGTTAGTATAGGCGTATGTTAAATAGTGACATAATTTTTGTCTAACAGTAGATCACAATTAGTTTTAATACAATGAAAGTTAATCAAAGCAACAAAAAGTCAGCCACCCCTCTTCTACAGTATCAATAAATAGCACATTAAGCCATAATCATAGAACTGAATAAAACAAAAAAAAAACAATTTATGCTGTTATTTAATAAATAAAAATGCATGCAGTATTAAAATGATAATTCCGACATTTATTTATTTAAAGTTTTGAATGTTCTAAAAACATCTTATTCAAAAGTAA